AACCCTAAACCCTAAACCCACCCAGGTGGAGCCCCTGGGCAGGCCGCCGCTTGAGCCTCCGCCCCACTGGAACGAAGGGTGCCTGAACGGGGAGGTGGGCCAGAAGCTCATCCCAGGCACCCAGGGGTTTAGGGGTTTTTGGTTTAGGGGTTTAGGGGTTTAGGGTTTAGGGGTTTAGGGTTTAGGGTTTAGGCTCCTCCCAGGCACCCAGGAGGAGTTGCAGTGGATGCAAGAAATGCTGGATAAGACCTTCAAGAACAAGGTGACGCGCGATCGCAAAGATGGGCATGCCTTGGCAGATCGGTTTCTGGCGGTCCAGTGCATCCGCAGCGAGCATCCTGCGCTGTGGGATCGCTTCGCAGAACGCCGCCAGCTCTTGTCTCAAGCCGGAGGTGCGGAAGCTTAGTTCTCCAATACCCAACCTTTACAACTTTTTGGGTTCCTATAACTTAGTAGTAATCTGGAAGTTTAACCTATTATTTCCCTGCCTCATGGGGACACTCATTTCTTTAAATCTTGCGAAAATCTGCATCGGATCAACTTTTTGACATTTGAATTACCCATCACCGCTTCTCCAATGTCTCTTCGACTCCATGTGATGACCTTAGCTCATTCCTACTTTTTGACACTCATTTCTTTAAATCTTGCTGGAAGTAAGGAAGACTTCATTCGTCCCAAGACGATGGCTGCCAGTGCCGGTCTGGCCCAGAGGTGTGTGGAGGTCTCGGGGGGCAATCCTTCAAACGAAGCTTACCTGCTCCATGGGACCAACCCAACCTCGGCTGTCGCCATCCTGAGCAACTCCTTCACCGTGGACTTTGCTGGGAAGAGCGCTGGCACCATGTTTGGTCCTGGCATCTACCTGGCCGAGAGCTCTACGAAAGCCGACGAGTACGCCCAGGATGATGCCACTGGCGACTATGCCGGACTCTATGCCGTCCTGGTCTGCAGGGCTCTTCTAGGAAAGCCCTATGTGACCCAAGAGCCGGGTGATTTTCGAGAGCAGGTGCTCGGCGGGGAGTTCGGCCACGTCCTGGGCGATCGCGAGAAGGCGGTGGGCACCTTCCGAGAGTTTATCTTCTTCCACGAAGCTGGGTCCTTGTTAGCCACCATTGTACGTTCTTGTTATCATAAAACCTACTATGGGCTTAGAAATGATGACTTTTCATAAAGGCCTCAACAAAGAAATAGGAAGCCGCCGTCTACCCTGAGTACGCCGTCTTCTACCGCAGGGAGAAGGATGGCCGGGTCATGCCAAGGCCCGAACGTGAGATGGCACCTCGCCCCATGGAAATGGAAGGATTCGGTGGGACGGGCCCCATGGAAATGGAAGGATTCGGTGGGACGGGCCCCATGGAAATGGAAGGATTCGGTGGGACGGGCCCCATGGAAATGGCAGGATTCGGTGGGACGGGTGGGAACGCAGAATTTAGGATTTAGGGTTTACGGTTTTAGGTGGGAACGCCTGACCACTTTGCCTTGTGCCATCCGCCCGCCATCAACGGGGCAGCATTGTCCAGCCAATTGACGTTTGTCCAGTCCCTTTGCATTTAAACGGTTCCGGACGGTTGCAACGACGAGATTCTCGCAGCCTTGGGGCAGGCCTCCGAAAATCGGACGGCTCGAAGAGCTCGCTTGTTGGACATCAGATGGGGCGCGTGCGTCTACATCGAAAACACTTGGTGTCATTGATCCACGACTCCTGGGAGGGCACTGATTCCGGCAGTAACCTCGCAGCTAGTGCAATAACCCTAAACCCTAAACCCTAAACCAACCCTAGCACAGAGTCGGAGTAGTATGAATCGCTTTTCATGGCCATCATAGAATTACACTTGTGTTATCGCCCAAACACCTTATTCCATTGATTGCGGCCTCTATGTTAAGCCTGAATCTTACTTGTAGCGCACTCTAGGTCACAATGCCGTCCTCGGTGCTTTGGAGCACGGTGGTCAATGGCCTCGCGCGGGGCAGCATCCCAGCTATTTCCAGAAGAAGGTCTGAGGGATAATACCCTCAGGACAGACACCTTTATTATCGGATCCTTGAAGGTGTCTGGGCTTAGGCTTCTAGGGTGCTAATGCTTGGGACTGGCGTTTTTGAGATTGCGTTTGGGTTGCGTGCTGCCGAATGTAGAGGCTTGAATAGTTGCCCATATGTTTCCTAGGGCCCAATGTTTCGTCTTTATGTTGGCACGAGAAGATACCCCCAAACTCTATACGGTCAAACCCACTACGTTGAATTCCTTAAAAAAGAAACCTTGCTAGTCACCTTTTTAACCTTAAAATTATGTGGAGCCTTGCCTGCCTGGTGCGAGAGTGAGAGTCGAAAGGAACTTTTTACAGGACATTTTTTATGGGTTCGGGAGCTTGGAGATCTCGAAAGCGGGATCTAAAGGACCTTCCGCTGGATGTACTACACTATACCATAACACGCTGTGTTTTGGGATGTTAACAAATCTTCTAATCTATTCTATCATATTCTATGCTATTCTGTTCTATTCTATTCTATTCTGTCGTAATATCTTAGTGACACCCTACATCCTCATCCTCCAGCTGGGTGGTGCCAAGAAGCCAGAGGAAGAGGGCACGGTCATGGACTACTCCATGGGTTAGGGACTTTAGGGACTTTATACAGGGTTTAGGGTTTAGGGTTACGTCGCAGGCAGTTGTCAGCTTACTATGCACCTGCAAAGCTCAGACAGCTCGGACCAGTATCCTGGAATGCCCCAGCTAACTCCAGACTTTGCGCACGTACATAGCTACTTCATGCTACTCCTTAGAGTTCCTTATGATGAAGATAGTAGAATATACCTCGGAAAACCCTATTCTACTTGTGCAGGCCTCTAAACGAACTATGAGTGAAAATGAAGTCTCGTACATGCCACTGTGCCCGACATGCGAGCTTCCCGAGGCTGCTGGGCAGAGGCTTGTATTCAAATGGTACGTTGTCTCCTGCACTGGTATGGCACGGTTTGCCCAGCGTGAGTCGATGTGATCTGGGGCAGGGTTCAGTTGACGGGTTTTCTGTCCAGGCCATGTCTCCATGTGGGGGTTTCCGAAAACAGGGGACCCTAATATAGTGCCCTAAATAGTAGGACCCTTACTATAAGGACCCCAAAATAAGGTACCCATTATTTCGGAAACTCCCTTGTAAGTTTCTTTTACCAAGCCAAGGCCATGATTCGCAATCAAGTGCCACGTCAGAGCTTTCAGCAGAGATCACACACCCGATGTGTTGCACTATTCTGGGGTGTTCCTCATTATAACTATAGTATAATATACTCCAAAACCCTATTCCAATTACATTCAGGATTGCCGGGCCCCGGAGCAGTCATACTGGGTTGCTGTTGAGGAACATGAACGGTTGAGGGTTTAAGGTTTAGCGCTTATAACTAAGTTACCATAAACAAGGAAACCGCCCTGAGCGATTGCCACCGTATTGAAAGTGAGTGTTTATTGAGACGGAACTCCTAGGGTTGTCTTGGAGACGGCTTCTGTGGGTGCTGTCCCACCCAGGTGAGGTGCGAAGCCTGTCGCACAAGAACGGGGTTTTAGAGTTTAGCGGTTTGACTTGAAGGTTTGCTCTAAGCCCTCATTGGGTTTTCAGCAGAGGCTCCTGCAGGCTGGATGCAAAAAAAGGTTTAGGAACGACCTTGGCGGTCTTTGTGGAGGATCCGGCCACAGATTGTGGTATCAGCTGTTGGTTGAAGCGGTCTCTGCTCTTCTCCACTGGTGCGCCCAAGTTTCCTTAACCCCAGAGTTCCAAAAGATCCCAACACCTTTGAGCCCGCATACCCGAAGGCCGTAAGCCCAGATGCCACATCGAAGGAGCCCTGGGCCCAACAACCTCGGGCAATACTAGGACTAAGCCGACTCCGAAACCCTCAACCCTAAACCTTAAATCGCCATAGACCTTGTCAGGCTTGTCCGAGCGTGAGTGTCTAAACCCTAAACCCTAAACCCCAAGGACTAGCCGACTACGGAGCCAGATGCACCAGCATCAGCTTCAATGCAGCCCCCTGGCTGCCTAAGGGTGCTCTTCAGGGGGCTCTCCATAAGGGTCCCCTTAAGGGTTCCCCCTTCAGGGTTCGGTGTTCAGGGTTTAGGGTTTAAGGGATACCCTTTAAGGGTTCCATTTATAGGGATAGCTTTGTGTCAAGCGCGCTTCAGGGGTTAAGGCTTAGCGTTACAACGCAGGCAGCCGCGAAGAGGGATGGTTGGTCTTGAGTCTTCAAAGGCACCGAAATCCTACGGAGCTGGGACATTGGGTCGCAGAATCAGCTTCAACTCCTTGGGCGTCAGTATTTGAGATCTTGGCTAAACCCTAAACCCTAAACCCGCCTGGGTTCGGGTGTAGTTTGGATGCAGCATTAAACCAAAGCCCGAAACCCTAAATAGAGCTGCTCGGACCGTAAGCTCGCTCTGCATAGGCAGGTTTGACACAGGATTCAGGCAAGACTAAAAGATATAATTGGCAGGAACATTGCGGCTCATATAGAGGGCTATCCTGTGTTGCGCTTAGGTTCCCTCTTGACCGGTAGTCGGGATGCTTATTTGAAGAGGAAAAAGAGCCAAACAACGTAATTCATAAACCATCCCTGGGCACGAGACTATCCGATGATGGTTTAGGGGTTTGCGGCTTAGGGTTTAGGGCTTAGGGATTAGCGTTTAGGGGTTTGGGGCTTACGGATTAGGTCTTAGGGTTTCGGGAGTAGGGTTTCGGGTTTAGGGCTTGGGGTTTAGGGATTCGGGTTAGGGCTTAGGGCTTGAATCCAGTCTGCTGTTTACGACTTGACGGAAGCTCAGAATGCTGAACCCAAGCCTACAAGCCCCGCACAAGCTTGACCTTGATGATTGTTGGTCTCTCTACTTACTGTTCTGCATCTGCTTTTGGGGTGCAGTTATCTGACAAGTAGAAGAAAGCGAGAGAGAGAGAGAGAGAGAGAGAGGGGGAGAGAGAGCAGGGAGACTTGCAACGAGATGGAGAAATCAAATAACGAGTCGGACAACCGGTCATTGCTTATAACTACCGTTTTCGAAAGCCAGCTGTGTCAATGTCAGGTCGTCAGCGCCTGCGAAAAGGCATCGTGGAGTCACCTGCTTTTGGTTTTTGTCCTGCCAGCGGCGATCGAACCCTTTGCGCCAAAAAGGTTTAATTTCACTTTCAACTAGACTAGCAGTTGTAGGTTCTACTAGAAGTAAGTCGGCGTCCTCAGGCGGAGGGAGGGGCTGAGTAGGAGGGGCCATAAGCCGCTGGTTCCCGGAGGTTGCAGAGTGGCAGCGCGCACTGGCACTGCTGCCACAACTGGCAGCTCGAGCTGCAGAGCCGCTAAGGGCTTGGAGCACTCAAGGTTTTGGTGAACTTGCAGGGTTTCTCTTTTTGTCTTTCTCTCTCTCTCTCTCTCCCTCTCTGTGCCTTTATATATACACACACACGCACATACATACATATATATATATATACATATATATATATATATATATATTGTATATATCGAGATATCTATATACGTATGTACACACACACACACGTACGCGCACTTTCGGCTTGTGGGCCGAGAGGGACTTGGACATCGATTCAGAGAAGGCGTGTCGGCCCAGGCGAGGAAGACCCAGTAGGTTCAGAGTTTAGCACCTTAGCGATCGGGTTTTTAGGGTTGAGGGCTTTAGGGTTTAAGGTTTCGGGCGGTTGCAAAAGGAGACCGGGGTGTGGGGGAGCCGGAGGGTGTCGGGGGCCGAGAGTTGAGGTATACAGGCTTTAACCCATCGCGTACCTCGAAGCTCGTACACAACCCTGCAACCTTGGAGGCTCATGGGTAGTCAAAGCTAGTGTCATAAGTAAGGCAACTACAGTATACTTATAATCCATATTAAGGGACTTCAAACCCTACTTGTAATCACCCATAACCTCCAAGTAAACCCCTAAACCCTACACCCCTAAACCCTAAATCCCTAAACACCCTAAACCCTAAACCCCTAAACCCTAAACCCCGGAACCTGGAAGACCGGAGTCGCACGCCTCAGGTGAGAAGCCAGCTACCCTTGCAGGATGTGGGCAGCAACGCTGCGATAACTGCGTGCCAGCATTTCGACTGAACCGTCGGGGGCGGTGGATTTAGGGTTTTTACGGAGACCCCGCCATCTCATTAATTGGGGGGAGTGGGTGCAGACCAATCCCTGCCGAAGTTTCGCAAGCGGTCCAGGAAAATCCAGATAAAAGAGGAACACCTGAGCGCATCAAGAACGAGTTCGAAAGTTCGACCCTGAAGCCGAAAACTTGACACAAGGACAGGCTTTTTAATTCAGGCGAACACACACTGCTGCAGGATTTCGGGTTAACGGGTGTAGTTGCATGGGGTTTAAGGCTTTGGGTTTCTATTGATATTTGAAGCCCAGTTGCTTTGATATGGGTTATTGTTCCTTAAATTCTATATGAGCTGTTTTCGCACCCATATCCCAGAAACCTACTGCACAGGTAATTGGGCCATTAGATAACATACTCGGTCGTGTTCTTACTGTTGTTATAATGAGTAGTGAGTAGTAGTCGCAAGACTGACCGCAAGCATCGGCAAGCCTAGAGTGTACCACGCACGAGACGAAGTGCGGAAGGCATTAGCAGGGCTGTCCGATGGAACAGGAGTCTGAAGCTTGGGAGGGGAAAATAAGCCCGAAACCTCAAAGCCCAAACTCCAAATCCGCAAGGAAGGGCGAACAGTGGCGGAGAGCCACAAGCTTGCTGGGATACATGCGAGGCCTGAAGACATTGTTGATTAAACGAACGTGCGGAACGCACCGAAAACATCGTACCATCAATAGGTCTAAGTACACGTTCATCGGCTCAGATGTGTTTAAGTGGTCTGTCATGTATGTCGCGTTCACGAACGAGCGGCACAAGCTTAGAGGCTAAGAAAGTTACGCATGTTCGGAAGGCGGGGCGGGGCGCAGGCGAAACCCCTCGACCCCAAACCCCTCTAGGGCGTTTTTGCAGTGTAACATCTTGTAGGTCCTCCGGTTCGGAGACATCTGGTTGCGAGCGTGGAGAACAAGCAGTGTTTGTGTTATGTGTGTTGGATCCTCTTTTCAATGACTGAACTCAACAAAGTCCCCAAACCAAAGCAGGCAAAACCCCTAAACCCTAAACCCCAATGGACCGAGACGAGCACTGTGTGCAGGCTGCAGTGCAACTGCCACAGATGTGACGTGCAATGCGCTGCTCGATCGACATTTTTCAAAGGATACATAGAGAAGGGTATGGGTAGTTCTCTAAATTTGGGTCCCTTTTTGGGTCCCCCGTATAGTACGGCACCCTTGTAAAGAGGACCTCAATAAGGGACCCTCATTTAGAGAACTACCCATACAGGGTTTGGGTTTAACGTTAAATGCATGTAGCTACCCTTGGTTCGGAAGAAGATGGGGGGACTGGAAGCCAAGCCAATGTTACCTTGCGAGCTACAATCTTGCAAGGATGTCGCTATTTGGTAGGGACACTTTGAAGGTCATGCTGAAGAGACACCAGGAAGGGTAATAGGACAGGGTAAAGCAAAGTGTAAATTTCTCTTCCACTTTGGTTTGGGGTTCACAGTTGGCGGTGCGGAGATGACAATCTCGGAGTGTCATCTTCGATGTCAACTTCCGTCATATCACCACCTCCACCCCGCGATCATCCATGAGGCACCCCGAGTTTACACACTCGTCTGTCAGAGCACTGGAAAGGCTGCTGGTCCGGTTCGCAACGTGGCACAGCGTGATTGCGAAATGGCCTGAACCTGTCTCTCCGCATCTGATACCTGCTAGCTGAAGCCAGAGGCTACTTAGTAGTAGACTAGGTAACCTTCAACCTTTCTAGGGTAGTTCTTATAAGCCCGATATGTTCCTAAAGGTTAACTTTACTTTTGGTTCCCCTGGAGAACTGGACTTCTAAGTCCAATATTTAGAGCCGTTTATGTGGCAGCAGAAGGCCCGAGCCTTACAAGTAGCCTATTCTGTAGCAGCTCCAGGCTCTGGTGAGGTCGGCGATCTGGGACATCTAACAACAGGTTAGCCCACAAGATTGCAATATTCTACTGCCCTAGAATGGCCTACATGTAGGAGCCCATTCATCTTGTCTACGAAATTTCCCGCGAGCTACGCACCTCTTTTTTTGAATTCACGAATAACATATCAAATCACATAGAGGCAGAGGCCGAAAATCCTTATAATACCATCTTCAACCATCATCCCTAGGGTCACGGACCCAAAGCCGCATACCCCTAACCCCTTTTTACTCAACCCTTAACCCTACATCCTAAACCCTATTGCTTTGGAAACCTGTATCCTAAACCCAGGACATTCAAACCCTAAACCTATATCCTACGCCGTAGATCGTAACCTTATCCCCCCAACAAATTTTGAAACCTTACCCACCCTAAACCCTAAACCCACAACCTTAAACCCTAAACCCCCAACCCTAAACCCTATTCGCGCTCAGAGTGATTGTGCTGTCAAAAAAAACCCTAAACTGTGTTGAGGTTGCTGAGTGCCTGCGAAGCTGGGGGCTGTTGGTTCCAGGCGCCTCGGAGATTTCGTAGATAAGCTAAATGGGCTTAGGGTTTAGGGGTTTGCCCCGTTTAGGGAATTAGGGTTCAGGGTTTAGGGGTGTCGGGCTGAGCCTGGGTTCAAAAAAAGGGGTGTCGGGTTTAGAGATCTAGGGCCGTAGAATGAATATTGCGATCTTGTTCGCCACCCGGTTCTTTGAAGTCTGAAGAAACTCTTCAAGATCTGTTCAACCTGGCTTTGGGTTTAAGGCTTAAGGTTCAGGGTTTAGGACTTCTTCAGTCTATGAGGCGGCTGGGGTAGACCTGATGTGCTTTAGTTCCTGTTCAAGTTGGCCCTTGTTATCCCTTACTCCCCGTTTACGAAGCTCCATGTGCGCCCCCAAGTGCTGCAACTGAAAGCTCGAGTCGTCGAGTTTACATATCTATGGGCTAGTGCTTAGGAACTTATACCCTTAGCGCTATATAAACCCCAGAAGCCCTAAACCCCAGAAGCCCTATAAACACTGCCTTTTGAGGAATTCTTGTACCGGCTTCTATGAGGGATTTAGGGTTTTGGGGTGGCAAGGTCTGGGCTCGCATACGCAGAGATTCCCGGAGTCAGGGCTTCCACTGGACCCAACTTCGATTTTTGCAAGGACCGAGCGAAATCAATGTACCTCTTAATTCAGCCATAGGTCGGAAGGGGTGCTAAAGATCCCTCTAATAGTAAGCCTTTTGCGGTCTGCTGCAGTACCTCGACCCTACACTTTTGAGTCTTCCGCCACGTGTTGAAGTTGATGGGACCTAGCCGTGGAACGAAATGTAAACGAGTGCCCAATGCATCGTGGAGGCGATGGACTTGCTGTGTTGCTTTCTCGCTCGGGCTTTGCACCTTGTCTGGAGATACTTCTCAGCTTGACTTACAGTACCCCCTGGACCCCAAACAAACCCAGTTGGTCTTGGACTTCAGCTTTAGATGTTCAGCTCGGAATCCTTATGGGAGCCACCTGAGAGCTACGCTTCGGCTGACAAACCCGCTCCCCGGCTTACAATGGTACTTTAGAAGCCTAAATAATTTCCAATACTATTGTGGGCTCCTTATGACAATTATGGTATATTATACCCCAAAGCCCATTCGAATTATTAAGGCCCCTACATTACCCAAACCGTAAACCCTGTAAGCCCTGAAACCATCGGACCATGGATGTCATAGCAAAGGCGGGAGACTTCGGGAAAAGCCCTGCCTGCCTTGTGCCAGTGTAACACTTAGTATCAAAATAGCCCAAAAGCCTTTTATAATAGGGTCTTGGGGCCCTTTTGAAAGCTTTAAAATATGACTCCTTTGATGGTAAGTGTAAGAGTCGAAGTACTGGTTCATTTGGGTTTTGTACTGCTGCGGATTCGAGTTTGCCCATCAAAAGCATACAGGTCAACTTCATAAAACCATCTGAGGGAAAAGCTCAAGGAACCCTTCAAGGAGCCCTTGAAGGAAGCCTTTACGGAGCCGTGAAAGCCAAGCACCTCCATGGGTCACAAGCTCTTGTCTGCTAGGCCTCAATCTGAAACTCTGGAAATTAACGTCCGAGAGTCGTCAGGCGCTGGGGGTGAGGCTTTATACGGTTTAAGTACAACCTCTCGAGTTTGCCGACCACCCTAGACTACTTATCCCGTGTCTGTACAAAGTAGGGTTTAGGGTTTAGTAAGGCTTCAACATAGCCAGCCGCGACATGCAAGCCTGATGTCGAAAGGGTTCAGTAACCTTAAACCCTACGCCTGCCCCAACTTTTCCGGGAACGCAGCAGGTTTGGATTTGCAAGCTATACCGACATGGAAAAGGTAGTATAACACCAACATACTGTTGCACGTCCTTGTTGTATTTAGAGTTTACGACCAGAAGTTCAGGTTTAAGGCTAGACTTGAGTCCAGTAGCACAAAGGGTTTTGGGGCTTGCCGAGTTAACCCTTAGTTACCGCCAGGAAACTGCACGAGCCAGCCTACTGGAAAGCCATATTTGTTTATGTGTTTAGGGCTTCGGGTTTTATGGCGTGGAGTTTAGGGTTCAGGGCCCCAAACCACTCGTCACTAGACCCTAAACCCTATGTGAGTGCCAGCTGGGCGGGTGGGACAAATGTCAGAGGCAAGACCCAGGGTTTACGTATAGTCTGCATTGTAGCTCCTCTTTTGGGTTACCTTATATGATCCTACACATAGAAATGGTTCAACAAAGAAAGGAAACTACAATAGCATCGGGGCACTCAAAAAAAATATATTAGGGTGTTTGGGGGTCTGTTTTTCTGTAATTGAAATACGGAACCCACAAAACCCTATTCTGATTATTAAAGCCCCTACATTAGAGATCCCAAAAGCCCGAAAGCTTAAACCCTATAGGTAGGGTAGGGACACGTCAGGCGCCTCGGGTGCTTGTCTTGCAACGCGCTCTTGGGCAGCTGTGAGAGATCAGGCGGGAAGCTAAAGTTTTGGGTGTGGCTTGGGTTTAGGGTTTAGGGGGTTAGGGTTGAGGGTGTATATAGGGTGTCTAAGGTTTAAGGTCTGACCGGGCGAGCTCCAATCAAGCCTGTGCAAAAGGGCTTAGACGGTACCTTCAACCTGCCAAAACCTACCTTTTTCGTAGGGCCCCTACAAATTCTAGATTACTGTAGGAACCCAAGAAATCCTGGTCCTATGAACTCCAAAAGGGCCCTAATCAAGACCAAAGGTTTCTTAATCAGGTTCCTATAGTAGGGCTTTCTATAAGACTATACGAACCCACAGAAAGGTAGGGTATGGTAATTTCAGGTAGGGTTTAGGAAAGCCTGTTACAATGATTGCCGGTATTATGCCTTAGTGTTTCGTACAACGTGTATGTCATCATATCCTCTGTCCTGAAGGTTAGGCCCCCTATTAACTGTTATTACTATTTATTTTTATTTATATGATTACGACTATTATTATTATTATTGTTGTTATTATTATTATTCTTCTTACAATGTTCTTTCTTCTTCTTATTGTTAGCATGATGTTTTTGTGGACTTCGACACAAGACGTGCGTGCAGTCCAGTGGCGGAGCGGCCTGGAAGCGTTCCGCGACTTGACCTGCTTAGGTTTGTGGGGCTTTGGGTTTTGGGGTTTGGGATTTCGGGGCTGGGATTTGGGGTTCAGTTAACGCTAAACCCTAAACCTTCACGGTCGGAGTTTAGAGCTTGGGGTTTAAGAAGGCAGAGCCTCGAGCTTCATATTGGTGCTTTTTTGGACTCCAAGACCAGGTCGTGTATTTTGGTTTAGGGTCTAGGGATTAGGGATTAGGGTTTAGGGTTTAGGGTTTAGGGTGTAGGGTTTAGGGTTTAGGGTTTAGGGTGGTGTTTCGTTTCTGCTGGCTCTAAGCGAAGCTCCTGAGCAGAAGAGGAAGGCATGTTTCGAATTGGGGTTTAGGGCTTAGGGCTTAGGATGGGTTTAGGGTTTGGGGTTTAGGGTTTAGGGTTTAGGGCTTAGGGTTTAGGGTTTAGGGCTTTAGGGCTTAGACTGGGTTCAGTGTACTTGCCAGGTGTCTGCAGGAACAGCGTATCGTAGCCAAGTAGCCCTGAATTCCGTGCTTACGTGCCCTCACTAAGGCCTCATGCAAGCACGTCGCCTGAAGCCCGACATGACGAGCTACACTTCTGCGTCGGGCTCAGCATGCCCACACCAACTCTGGTGTCCTGCGTGTTCATATCTCAAGTTTAGGCTTTAGGATGAGGCGAACATGTCATACCTAAGGCAGGAGTCCGGACATGGGGTTCCTCGACCTCCAATTACTTGGAGGTTCATGGGTAGTTATAAGTGGGGTTATATGTCCCCTTTGTACGGTTGTAAGTTATAAGTATAGTAACCCTACTTTTAACAACCCATGAACCTCCAAGTAGTTGTTATTGGCATGCAGTCCTTCTGACATGGAGCCCTGAGCCCTAAACCCTATCCTAAACCCAGAGAGCCCCATATGTGAGGAATCCCTTTAATCAAAAGGGGTTTCAGATTATGCTTGAAGCCATCTTCCTTCATTGAGGAGCATCGGGCTCTCCAGGGTTCGTACCCTAAACCCTGAACCCTGAACCCTAAACCCCTAAACCAACCAACAGGAACCCTATCCTGAACCCTAAACCCTAAACCCTAAACCCTAAACCCTAAACCCTAAACCCCTACACCAAACAACCAACCTAAACCCCCTGGAGTTCTGTCGCAAAAACGCAGATGCCTGCGCGAGCTTGGAGCCCCCGGTCCTAGTGACGAACCGATTCACCCAGTAGCTCAGTCCCTAAACAAACGGCCATAATGTATAGGGGCCTTAACAATATTACTGTTAGGGTTCCTTATTATGAGTATAGTATAATATACCCCAAAACCCTATTCTAATTCTTAAGGCCCCAACATTAAGTACACGCTGTTGGGTTTGGGGTTCAGGGTGTGCGCCATGGCGGGGTGGAAGTTCTGGCTAGACTTGAGCCAGTGGCAAAAAGGGTGCACTGCAACACCTATGTAGTACTTGGAGGTTTATGGGTAGTTATAAGTAGGGTGACTATACTTATAATCCATATTAGGGGACTTATAACACCACTTCTAACTACCCATGAACCTCCAAGAGGGTAGGAGGAGGATGAGGTAAGTGTTGTCGCAGCACTGGCTATGGTCGTTATCGGCATCATCACCATCCTGTCCCTGGCCATGAAGCGCTAGCATTTGGAGCAGTGCCACAGCATCAGACTTTGTCCTAGATATAAACATACAAGTAACAAAACGGTGGAGGTAGTCATGATACTTTCAGTATACAGACCCCGGGGAACTGAAAAGTTGTGGCATTTCAAGCACAAACCCCCGTTCGCCTGAGTCCTTCAACCCCTTGCTTAAACCCTGAGTGAAACACAAAGGTTTGCTACTAGAAAGACGAGAACTGCATTGGTCCTTCTTGCTGAGTTCCCGGCCCCAAACAGGTTAATCTCTCAGGGATATAGAAGAAAAAAGCCGAACCATTCCTAAACCCTAAACTTCTAACCCTCAAAGCCTGATCGGTTAGTCCTTAGTCCTGGCGAGAAGGCAAAAAACCCTTGATGGTTACTTGCTCAGCTGCCCTAGACCGTAACGCCTAAACCCTACACCCTACCTTAACCTACCAGAACCTACTTTTTTGTAGGGTCCCTATAAATTCCATATCAGGGTTTATAATAAGAACCTACCAAAAAAGAGGGTTCTGGTAGGTTAAGGTATAAACCCTAAACCCTAAAACCCTAAACCCTAAAACCCTAAAACCCTAAAACCCTAAAACCCTAAACCCTAAACCCTAAGTGGCCAACCTTCTGAGGTCGCAGAGTTCTGCGAGGCAGGTGGGCGCATCCGCTCCGGAGCTTCGGCAGCCTTGGCACTGAAGGGTTTTGAGGCTTCTAGGGTTTAGGGTTTAGGGTTTGGGGTTTAGGGTTTAGGGTTTAGGGAGGGTTCTAAGGCTTCTAGGGTTTATACGGTTTAGGAGTTTAGGATCTAAGCTGTGTAGGGGATTTAGGGAAAAACTTGGATCTTGGGGGGTTGAAGGGGGTAGAGGCTTAGGGCATAGTCGTATTTTTTCGTTGCAAAGTTAGGGGCTTGAGGGTTCAGCGCGTTTGAGGCCTTAACGTTTTTTTTTCTGAAACCGTGTGCGGCGGGCTGTAGGTTTGAAAGGTCATCAGGGCTTAAAGGTTACTGTTGTGTTTGGAGTCGGAGAACTAAGAAGGTCGTGTTTGGGGCTTTTACATCTAAACCCTAAACCCCAAACCCCTAAACCCTAAAACCCTAAACCCTAAACCAACCAACCAACCTAAACCGCGCCTTTCATGCAGAGGGATGAAGGCTCCGAGCCTCAGCTCAGGACATTCCAGCGTAGATCCCAGGGCCTCAATTTCGGTCAGCTTTCCAGGGGTAGGGTTTAGGGTTGAGGGTTTAGCTGATTGGCAGAGTCTGGGTTCAAAAAGGGTTTAAGGGTTTAGGGTTTAGGGTTCATGCCAAGGTTCTACACAAACCCAGAAGCAAAGATTGCACCTGAAACTATAGGGTTTGTTATTCTGTAAAGTTGCTGCCTAAATCATGGAGTCGTGGGCAGTAGCCGAAACAGCGACGGAATGCGGTGTGGGAAATATCAACGCAGGTAGATAGGATTTTCAGAAGATGAGGGACCCTAGTATAGAGCCCGAATGTTACGATATGCACCAGGAAATAGCAGTAGCAACAGTAATTATACCAGCCTCGACCCCAAACAGCAAGTGGGAGACAAATGGGAGACAAGTGGGAGACACATGAGTAGCGGTTTTTAGAGTAGTGCCGTGAAGAGTAGTGCCGTGAGAAATCCAAATGAGCGTTAGAGAATCCTTTTCTATTAAGCAAATCAAGAACCCCTCAGCTAAAGCTGTTTGGGGAATAAGAATAATAAACACAATAAGACTAAAAACTACGTATATTGATATGATGATCCCCAAACAGGGAGACATTCTCACACGGCTTCCATGCAGCAGAGGACGGCATGTGCTCGCGGCGGCCGCCGCCCGGCTTTTCCTTGACATCCTCGCACCTTATCAGTTGCTGTATACGGTTTAGGGTTTTGGGGTTTAGGGTTTTGGGGTAGGGGTTGCCTTTTGTTTCTCTAGTTCCTGTTTTGGTTTGACCTGGTTTATATTCAGGATCCTAAGAGGTAACTCCAAACAGGGACTACAATGGAGACCATCGGTGTTTCGTGAGTGTATAGATCCCGGCTTGGGGGCGGTCTGCCTTTTCGGGCTGCAGACTCTCTGAAACTTCCATGGGTTTTTTTTGGCGTTTGGACGAATTGTTTCAACAGTTGGCGAAGAAATTCTGAACCCTAAACTGACGCCAAAAGCCCCCCAAGAAGAGACAAGTGTGAGGCGTGAGGCGTGAGGCTGAAGGTTCTTGGGGAGGAGGGGAGGGAAGATGCTTCAGAGGTCTGGTAGGGTTCCCGCGACCTTCAGGGTTTTGACGTATTACCTGCGCGTTTTGCATTGCATTTCCTTCGGCCCTTCTGTTGGCACGGGAAGATGCGAGATGTGATTGAGCCGTAGACTGAGGATCATATGTACTTACTTACAATCCCCGTTAATGTACATATAGCTACTACTCACGGTTCTTGAAGTGCAGAAGGAACGATATCAGATCAAGTGTTATCTGAACAGGGTTCGATAGCCGTGGTCTTTTTGCAGTCGGATTCGGGGCTTTCGACAAGAAGTGGAGCCAGATAAAATAAAAATACCTTCAAGTTAATATGTCTTGCGCTACATTTGTGCCGGGTCGCTCCCCTCCGATCCAAGGAGGGATTGATGATGCAGGCGCTGCAGCAGTCCTTCGGCAAGCGCCAAGGAAGCCAGCACCGGCTAAACGGCCCAGCCACATAAGCCAGCCAGAACAGACGTGGCGCATCTAGTCGAAGGTGAGTTTCGCAGATCTCGAACAACTGCGGATAGCTCACGCACTGGATAGCAGCCGCTGGCTCAACCGGCGGCGGCGGATTTGGATCACTACAGGGAGGGGAGCCAGGACTGGTGGGGAGCTTTGCGTGCAACAAGGTTTGGACATCGTTCCATCTTCGCATAAGCATCATGGCAGGCGCGCGTGCGCGCTCTCTAGACACACTTCACCCTCCTCCTGCTGCTACCTCCGACTGGATACAAAGAAGCTTCATCCCCCCGAAGCAAAAACACGATCTCTTTTTCTGAAGCCCTGCGTCCTATGAGCTGCTAGAGCAGGACTTGAGGAGACAGTCTCAGAAGATGGATGTCCTGATAACTGCCGACGCCTTCAAGACGCTTTGTTGGAGGCGGCGTCATGCTGCAGGGGGAGGAGAGGGGGCATGGTTGGGGTTTTATATTTCAGGCTTAGGCTTCAGACTGGGGCATGGGACTGACGGAGGGCTCATAGGGTTTAGGGTTTAGGGGTTTAGGGTACAATTAGGGCTTTAGGGCTTTGGGGTTTTAGGGTTCAGGGTTTAGGATGTGCAGAGCTCGCTGAGCTCAGAAGGGCCTCGACAATGGCAGCGCCGTTTTTTTTGTAGAGCCCAAGACCAATATAGGGTCCGAACCCAAAAGGAGGCGGCATCCTTGTAAAAAGGACCCAAAAAGGGACCCTAGTTTGGAGAAATACCCATGTTGATTTATGCCCGGGAGAAAAGGCCGCCCTACAAACAGGAGTAGAACACTACTAAACGGACTGGTTTTAAACGCTTATTCTCACGAATGATCTTTAGAGCTCTGTGCCCTCCTACACCCTAAATCCGTAAATCCAAACCTCTATAAATGGGTCTCTGCATTACGAGTAGAAACTGTATAGGGTTCCCGAGACGGACCACAATTCTCTCACTTGCCCAAAAGACTCTTACAAACGTAGCTCCCGGACCCGTCCTGAAGGGCCTCGCCTAGCAGTGAGAGTCGAAACTCTAAAACCCTTAGTCCTCAGGGTATATGAGTCTAGGGTAAGGGTTTAGAGTTACTGTAATTCGGGTTTACGGTTTGGGGTTTTCGGTTTACCTCGGTTCCTGGCATATGCACAGCCCGGGCGTAAAAATCCTTAAACCCCCAAGTTTGAAATCCTATACACTCGAGACCATGTACTACTGTTGATGAGATAAATCCTGCAGTACCTTAAGGACCCTAAGCTTTGGGAATTATTGGCACATTCCTTATGAAGGGTATTGCAGGATTTATATCATCAACCGTAGTAAACCCGCGAGCCCGCTAAATACTTATGAAACCCTGCCAATCCTTGTGAGGCGCGCGCGGAGCCCGGGCGACCTGCCCCTTCGACACAGGGGGTTTCTGGTTTTGCCTTAAACCCATACAGGGGCCTTAGTAATGAATAGGGTTTTGAGGTTTATACCATGATTATCATAAGGAACCCCCAACATAGTATAGGTAATTGTAAAGGCCCCTACATTAGCCCAAAACCCAGAACCACTAAACCCTAAACCAAGTACCAAAGCTTGGACCCCGAACCATTCAGCTGCTTGTTGGGCTAAGATTTAGGGTTTAGGGTTTAGGCGGCTGTTGGACTGCACCTTGCCATAGGCCCGTCCTTATTGATTGAACTTGAGCTGCAGGGAGTTGGAAAAGAGGTGCTGCAAAAAAGCAGAGCTGGGTGCCGATTTCGGCTGGTGTTCCTCATTTCCTTGCGTGGTTTTATTTAGAACCCTAGCTACAAGTAGTAATGAGGGCTGAAGAAATCGACATCAAGATACGAGATACCGGATCGACCAGGACCGCCCTAGGTACTCCTACGAAAAAGTATCACCCTATAGGACCCTAAAGGGGACCCAATTATAGATATAGGACCCCTTGAAGGACCCTATTATAGAACCCTATCGGACCCTTAAAGGACCCCATTCTAGAACCTTATAGGACACGGAGAAGTATTCATACGGATGCACCTTCGCCGGCTCTCCAGCTGACGAGTCCGGGTTTTCAAGAGCCTCCCCGGGCCCTTCCTATAGGGTTTAGGGTTAAGGATTTAGGGTTTAGGGTTTAGGAGTCATCTTCCTACATCCTGGTTTTTGAGACACTCCGGGGTCTGTGTTGGAACGATGGATGACAAGAAGGCCTTCTGCTCCTTAGGGGCTGAGCAGCTAACCTTTAGCGTTTGGGGGTCATATAATGCCGCCATAACTTACAAAAAATAACTTTTTGAGGCGGCAAGGCCCAACGTCGTTTCTGACAACCAACAACAGCAATCTGAATATTTCTATAAGGGCCCTAAATAGTTACCAACACTATTTTGGGGGGCTCCTTATTACAATGAACTAAGAATCAGCCCCAAACCGTATTCCAACAATTAAGGCTCCTAGACTGTACCCAAGCCCTATTAAGATATAACTAAGGCCCCTGCACTATACCCTAAAGCCTAAAGTGACCCTATTCAACCTCGCCTGTGAGCTTCGTTCTCTGCCATGCGCTAAACTCTATTAACATATAATTAAGGCCCCCAGAATATACCCTGAACCCTAAACCCTGTTTTTCATATATACTTATAGCTATAAGGCCCCCAGATTATACCCTAAACCCTTTTATTAAGATTATAGAACCGCCGCAGGTTCTGCAGCTTCAACTTGCCCGACTAACGGAGTGCGCAGGGGCCCAGGGACTGCCATAGCCGAATCGCCCGCAGCTTCTGTGAGCCTTCTGGGAAAGTCTAGGAGGGCCTAGAGTTTAGGGTTTAGGGTTTAGGGTTTAGGGTTTAGGGTTTAGGGTTTAGGTGTTTAGGGTTAAGGGGTTCAGGGTTAGACCCTGAGATTCTAGCTTGCCGGCACACACCCGAAGCCCGTGCTGAAAAAGGGTTGGAAGGCTGGAAACCCTGTCGCAAGTGAGAGGGCTCCTAAAGCTAGGGCCAACTACTTTTTTGACGGAGGGTCTTCATAGCATGCTTTGAGCAAGTCATTCTTAGCGAGCTGCTCTTACAAGTCATCACGATCCCTAAACCCGAGTTTCCGGAAATGCTTGAGACCCTGAGCCCAAGGCCTGAACTTAGCCTTAAACCGGAAAGCCGTCGGGCAATGAACACAAGACCGAGCAAACCTGAACTCTAACTCTTAACCCTACCTCCTGTTGGATGCAAGGGCACAGACAGAGAGAGAGGGAGAAAGAGTGAACTCCTGTGTCTCGGGCGCTTGCCCTAAACCCTCAACTGGGACCCTAAACCCTTACACCGTCAACTGGGACCCTGAGCCCTAAACTGGAGCGCTAAACCCTGAACCCCGAAATTAAGCCCTAGCCTACGCCCTTAAGCCTTAAATCCCAAAGCCCCCAAACAAAAACGACTAAATCGAAACCCTGAACTGAGACCCTCAACCCTAAACCCTAGGTCTTGGGGCAGCTAGACAGCCGGATGCGCCTGCTCGAGCAGGAGATCACGGGAAGTGTAGTGACTGGGACTGGGAAGGCCAGCCGCCGGGTGAGGTTCGGGTTTAGGGTTTATGGTTTAGGGTTTACGGTTTAGGGTTTGCGGTTTGGGGTTTAGGGTTTAAGGGTTTAGGGGTCCGTGCTGAAAAAGGGCTTAAGAGTTTTAACGTTGTTCTCCTGGCATAGCTCTTCGCAGTCCTCCTTCCTGCGTTTCACTCGACATGCACAGATGCTCTGCCTCCCTTTCACTCCCCAACTTGGTCTCAGCCAAGATGCTTACAGAATCATGTGCAGTGCCTTGCATGGCGTTTCCTCCGAATTATTCCAGCACTTACATGGGTAGTTCTCGAAATTAGGGTCCCTTTTTAGGTCCCCAATATAGTACGCGACACCCTTATAAGAAGGGCCCCCAAAAGGGGCCCTAATTTAGAGAACTACCCACATGTTGTCATCACCAGTTTCACTGGTGACTTGGTTGGCACCTATTCGTGAGCTGCCAGCTGTGCTGCTGGCGGTTGTGCATTTTGTTCCCGTCTTGATTGAGTCGCTGCAGGCTCGATGCAAAGATATTTAGGCTTTATGGTTTAGGGCCAAGGGTGTAGTTTTTTACGGTCATCTTAAGAGCAAGCTAAAGCCTAATAAGAAGATCTTTTTGTCCTTGTGCCCTAGGCCTTAAAATCCTAAGCCCTCAATCCTACTTCTGTATGGGTAATGCTGCTTGCAGTGTGTGCCCGGAACAAGGGGATCGAACATAGACCATGCATACTAGGGTGCCGGGATCCGGCTACAAGGTGCCCCAAATTAGGTGACCCGGTTGCTGGGTTCCGGATGCAATAATGAGGAAGCCTGAATCAATGACCCCCTTAAAGGCACCTTTTGAAGGAACCCCTTAAAAGGAAGCTTTTAAAGGACACCCTTCAAGGAACCCTTGCAAAGAAAGCTCTGGGCTCCTGGAGGACGTGGTTCAGCTGCGGAGCGCTCCTGGCAGCCAGGCAGCTCAAGCTCGGACTTACTAGGAGGACTTCTATAGGGGTTTGGGAAGCTTGGGGCTTAGGAGTTGTTCCGAGTTTTTAAGATTGTGGGGGAGTTGAATTTGGATCTTAGGGTTTTAGGGTGGAGGGGTTTCAGAATTCCATACATAGCTTCGAGTAGTTGGTAAATGTGAGCATGGGCCCTGTATAATTCCCGCTGGTAGTTATGCACAATCGAACCTGGTCGTCGTGGTCATGATCACCCTTCTCTTCTATCACCGTGTTTTTGATCTGCTCATGTCTGCGCTATCTAAGATGTGCTGCATGTGCCTCAAACCTTATTTCTAACTAGTGTAGCCTGTGCATTAGGCCTGGGCCGGGTTTGGTTAGGATTTATGACACGGGGCTTGGTTCCTAAGTTTTACAGTGTGGGGTTTGGGAATCGCGATGAAGGGCTGAGGAGGCCTCAAGCCCTTAACCCTGAGCCCTAAACGCTCAAACCCTAAACCGTAAAGCCCTAAATCCTAAAAACCTAAACCCTAAAACCCTTAACCCTAAAACCCTGAAACCCTAAATCCTAAAACCCTAAAAACTTGCTGCTGTGCTCAGGTAACCTCGCCATGGCAGTAGCCCCGCAAAATCCGTGCCCACCCTCAAGTCTTTGGTAGTCCTGTCTTGAGGGTTGTTTTTTTAGGGCTGCGGGTTTCAATCCTGTTGGAATGTAGCATTGAATTGTTATAGTATTATTATTTGTATTATTACTGTATAACATAATACTTTACATATCAAATTACAATCATCATATGAAGCCCCCTTCTAGTTTAGAGGGCTTAAATTCCTTAGTTCAGGGATGGTGAGCTCTCTGGGTAGTCCTGGGGGCAAGTCCTTTCAACTTCTACGCTTAAGCCCTAAACCCTGATGCCTAAACCCTAAACCCTGAACCCCTAACCCCTAGCCATTTTGGCTCAAGCCATTTTGGCTCAAGTGCCAAAAGCGGCTTCCCCCCGGCGTGCTTCCAGGGGTGTCCCTCTCGCGTTTGTTCCGAGGCCTTCTTTGTGCTGCAGCCATCTCTCAGTATCTCTCTCGTCCGTTCGTGTCCCCCGTGCGTCCCCTGTACACATGGGCACCCCGCTGGACGAGCAGGAGACCCTGGATCTCCCCCCGCTCCACGACGACGATATCAGCCCCGTGGGGGGTGGGAGGCTGCTGGGGGGGGACGAGGATGCGCAAATGCGCGAAGCCGCACATGCGGCGCTTCTGGCGGCGACAGGAGGGGAGGGAAGGGGGGGGATGGGGGAAATGGGAGGGGGTACGGGACTTCGGAACGCCCTCGCCGCGGCAAACGACGGTGCCTTGGAAGCGGCTCAGAAGCTCCTTAATAAGCACCCCTCTGTTCCTAAACCTAAAGCCTCAGGACCCCAGGGCAGCCCCGGTAAAAAAGCCAGGCCCGAAGGACCTCCTCAAGCGGCCCCCTCTAAAATAGGGGCCCCCGGTCTCCAAGCTCCACCTGTCTTTGGAGGTCCAGGCCCACCTCCCGCCAAAGATAAGCGTTCCTTGCCAGCCACATACCATATCGGCGACGATGCGCCTCCGCCGTGGGCACAGGACCTCCAGCAGGGTCTTTCAAGGTTGGACAGGGGTCAACAAGATACACTGGAACAACTGCAGGTCAATAACAGGACTCTACAGAACATGTCGGATAAAATTAAGACCTTGGAGAGCCGTCAGGACTCGCATCTTGAAAGAACTCAGGCGTTTGAAACCCGCTTATCGACCTTGGAAGCAGAGCTGCGGGATCTCAGGTCGCGCAGTCCCAGCATGGCTTCAGGCTCAGGTTATGCCTCGCCCCGCACGCCCAAAGAGGGTGTACATGATGATTGGCAAATTGCACTAGGGGGGTGGGCAGACGCCAGGCGTGATGCCATTGAAGAGGAAGTTAGAGCATGGTTTGCAAGGGCGGAATGCCTCCCGCTGCTTCAGGATGTGCATGTGAATTCGGTAAGGTCTAACACGTGTCGTGTAGACTTGCTGTACATGCAGCCTAATCTCAGGGACAGAAGAAAGGTACAGAACTTGTGCGTGGAGGCCCTACGAAATGCTAGTAGGCCGAGTGAAATACCCGGACAACCCCCTCGCCCCCTTTGGGCCAAACGCAACCGAAGCCCAGCAGAGCGAGCTAGAATCCGCGCCATCGTGACCATCAAGGCATTGATAACGAGATTTCTGGGTGAAGCGGATTTTGAGTTTGATTGGCGAGGACGTTTCTGGGTCAAAGGGGTTAGCATTTTAGCACACTGGGATGACAAGAAACCAACGGAGGGGGGTTTGCTTCTTCTTGATGCACGAGGCTCGGAGACGGGTTGGTGGATTCCGGGCCCCCAGGTTGCACAGCTGATAGGCACAACGTTGGAGGTAGTGCACTCACACTTTGAAGTGGAGGTCTCGCAAAGCTAGGGGGTAGGCCGGAACAAACGTGTTTTCCCGAAGAATGAATTTGTTTGTTGCACGTGGAACCTTCATGGCAAAGCTATAGAGGACCTTTCTAATTTGTGGGAGGGCATGGTGCAACTCCCTGATGTCCTTTGTGTGCAGGAACTAGGCGGGGTCAAAGATGCAACCCCCGAAGTCTCCTCTCGTCCGTGTCTGCTTGGTCGTACGTCGTACACGATGTACGTGTGTTCGGCTGAGGAGGCCTTTAGGTGTCAGGCGGTGTTGGTACGCGCCGACATAGGCCTGACTGTAAAGTCTCGTACAGCCTTGAAAGCTGGAATTCTTTTGCATGTTGCATGTCCCCAGCACGTTTTGCACGTTGCATGCCTCCACCTTCCTCATAGCAAAAGAGCGAGCTCGGATCTGCGGCCGGATGCGGACGCAGAAACGGTGTGGCGACACACCCTTGAAGGGCTTGACGAAGGCACCCGAGACGCGCAGCCCCAGGACGTCATTCTGATCGGAGCGGACGTGAACCAGGACCTCCATGCTAGTGTCGACGAGTTTCCGGGGATGGGTTTGCTGAGAGCTCTCATTTCCAAACATGACTTGCGGTACAATCGTTCTGTGGGCCACACCTGGAGTGCCAGGGGGGTAAGCAGCGAGATTGACTTCATCCTGCTGCGAGCGCATAGGGTTCAGGTTGTGTCGTTCAAACGGGATGACATGAAAGAAGCCCTGCCTTCAGACCACTCGCCGGTTTTCAGCGTCATCCACACGCCTCGACCTTTAGTGAACAGAGCGATGAGGCCCAGAACGCAGTGCGGTAGGTGGTGCACTTCTCCTGGACCGTTGGAAGCATATGCAAAAGCTGAAGCTCCCTTTGACCCTGCTGAATTCGCGAATTTATGTGCAAGCCACTCGACCCGCCCCGCCTCCCTGCGGTACCAGGACTCCCCCGAACTCAAACAATCCATTAAAGAAAGGCGGGAGACAACGGATCCGCAGGTAAAGGCGGCCCTGCTGTGCAAGGTCCGTCATGAGAGGGCCTTGGCCAAGGCGGACCACAAGATTAAGATCCTGGAGGACGCCCGCGCGGGAGACAGAAAGGCCATAACCTACCTTCCTAAGAGTGCGGCACAGCGCTCCTTTGAAACGAGCTATATTGAGCGTCGAGGCGGGCAACAACAGGCGGCACAGGAACTTCAGCAGTTTTATGAGACTAAGTACTCCTCCTTTTTGCCCGCTCCTACCAAAGAAGCTGTTGACCAGATGCTTCGTACTCATACATCGATCCAACCACGGCCTTTCCATGATGACGAACTTGCAGCAGCCATTGCTAGATGCAAACCACGTACGAGCTCAGGCATGGACGGAGTGTGTTACGAGGCTATTAAAACGTACCACCGGCAGGACTCCCGGGGCAAGCTACTGCAGTACTTCAACCGCTTACTGCACGATGAGCTTGCGGTTCCTGCGAATTGGGCAGAAGCAAAGGTAGTTCTATTGCCCAAGATTCCAGCTCCAGCATGTCCCTCTGACCTGCGCCCCATCTGTTTGTCCCCTTGTTTATCAAAGGTTTTTGGGAGACTCATCATGAACAGGGTCGCAGCACGATGCCCGGCGTTTGCGAGCGGCCAACTTGGCTGTAGAAAGGGCACCCAAACGGTTGACGGTATCCTGGCAGCCCAGACAGTGGTAGGGATTCTCAGGCGCAAACATGGGGTTGAGGCACATGTCGCGAAGTTGGACATACGTGCCGCCTTTGATAGCTTGGCACATTCGGCAGTTGTTCGTTACTTGGCAGAGTGTGAACCGTGCCCTGAGGCGGGCCTCCTTTGGAAGTTGTGTTCGGCAAACCGCTTGCACATGTCACTGGGGACCCACACCTGGAAGGTCCCGGTGATGCAGGGCATCATGCAAGGAAGTAGCTACTCAGCCGATCTGTTCGCCAGGGTAATAGATAGGCACATACGGGGGCTACAGCCGAGATGGAATGCAATGTTCCCTGCCTGGGAGGACGGACTCTGCCTCCCACACTTTCTGCTGTATGCCGATGATATTTTGTTGTTCGCGATGAGTGCAGCAGAGCTCCAGAGGAAGTTGCGAGACTTGACGGACAGCTTGCAGTGCATCGGCCTATTTATTAATGCGAGAAAGTGTCAGGTCCTGAACATCAAAGGGGTCACTCCAGGTGTGTGGCCGAGAAATAGCGCCGTCCCGCTGGAAGGGCGTGACGCCCTGACTTTCTTAGGCGTTCCCCTCAGACACACCAACGACCCTGAATCCATGCTTACACACTCTCTGCGCAAAATGACGAATTCGTATTTCGCCATGAAAAAGCTGCTTGACCACCCCTCCACGCCCCACAGGTTGAAAGCGACGCTCTTCGAGAGTTACGTTTCGTCCCGCTGGTCGTGGTGTAGTTCAGTGGTGTGGCCCAGTGTCAGGTCCCTTAGATCCCTTGAAGGCCTCAAGAACTCACTTTTGCTGGGAATCTTCAGATTTGCTCCGGACCCCTTTAGCACATGGGTTGAAAACACGCAAGGGGTCAGAAGAGCCCTGAAGTTGTACTGTGATAGGTTCTCAGGACCCCGCTGGCAGGTGACGTGGCTCACTAGGATATGGACCTATATGGGACACTTAGCACGCTGTCAGGTGGATACGCCGCTTACAGTCTTGGTGCGCACCCTTAGCTCGCACAAACTAGCGCTACGAACGCTGCGCCCTTCGTGGCTCAGTGAGTGCCCCCTCCATAAGTTCAGGCTATTCTACTCCCGTGTCAGACAAGACGGCGAACATGAACACTGGGAATGGCAGGCGTCCAACCGTGCGGGCTGGAGTAACATGCTACCGAGATGGCTGGCAGCCTGGAACGCGGGCCTCCCGACTCCGGATACCTCGGAGTTCCTCCAGGGTAGGCAACTCGTAGTTGTTAAGGGCGGGGCGGCGGCATTGCGCCCTCGGCGAGATGTGTTGGAAGAGGGGTACAGCAGGGGATTGATCACTATCGCCCCCTGGAGGGCCAACAATTGTGTCTCCAGTACGATCTGGGTAGCACACCGGATAGGCTGGCCTACTGCGTGCGTGTACCTCTTTCACAAAAATCGGAAGGCGCAATCAGCCTCGGTCCTCCACGTCCCTATGTCCCACAGGAATGGTGAGCTTTCAATATTCCCCCTGCTTAACTTGGTGTGCGAGCTACTGCTAGGACTTATGACACGTGACTCCTTCGTGCAGACAGCGGTGGTCATACCACCATATCTTCTCCCCCGCTATGTGCTCGAGGGCAACAGAGATCCGCGGGACGTGGACGCCGCCAAGTTCACGAGACTGTGCCAGGAGACCGATCTTCTGTCGCGAGCCTTTGTGCCCCCTAAGAAGCTGCCCCAAAGATGGAGTCTTCAATTAGGGTTCGAACCCCAGGCAGTTCCCCCCCCGTGGCAGATCATGTTTCGCACTGCTGACTTTCACCAGGTCCGATACTTCACTGAATCCAGATCGGCGTGTCTGATTGCACTACGACCGCAACTGTTGTGAGCTCAAAGCCAATAGGGTAGTTGATTAGGTCCCGCCATGCCCACTAAGAAGCCGCGCCTAGAAGCGGAGGTAGCAGCTCTTGCGATACTGGACAGGGATGACTTTGTCACCAAATCTGAAGTGGTCCAAGTGATGAGCATGATCCCTAGTCCTGAATGGGGGTCTCGATACGGGGGTAAAGCCTTGTCCTTTGGGGCATACCAGAGGGTAGCCGTTGGCGTGCGCACGTGCTGCAGGCGGTACCCCATCACTACTCGGCTCCTCACAAGGCTAGTCCGACAGTGGGCCCCCCAGGTTCGCTTCACCACGGTGACAGTCATGCTGGATGTCAACTCGCCGTTGCATACCGACCCGGGCAACTCCGATGTCCCGGGGATGGTGATGGCGTTGACTACCGCGTTCACAGGAGGGGAACTATGGGTGGAGCACAACCAGGGCACCACCACGATGTATCGTAATGGCGCCCCCCATAGGGGCATCCAGATTGACATAGCCAGCCCGTTTGTCTTCTCGGCGAAACGGGTTCTGCACGGAACCTGCAGGTGGGAAGGATCGCGCATGACTATCGCAGCCTACAGCACAGCGAACAGCGCGACAAACCTGGGAGAAGACCTGACGTTCCGTCTGACCTCAATGGGCTTCTTCCCCCCCACGGTGCAGGACGAGGACAGGTTCCGACTGGAAACTTGGGGGGCTGTCGTGGCTAGACAGCTGCGCCTGGACCAAGCGGGGAGATGGCCAGCAGGGGTCCTTCTACAACATGGGCCAATTACAGTAGACCTGGAAGACCCTTGCCCGCCGACCCTGGTGATAGAGTCAGAGTCGGAAGAGGATGTCGTTAGCGTGTGTGCAGGACCCGGCTCTCCGGAGCCGGATTTCTGGGATTGCGTGCTTTCGGATCCGGACTTTGATGATATTGACGGGGTTTGGTTTTAACTCTGTTTGGTCGTGTTGGCTTTGTTTTTCCTCATTAGGACCGGAAGCACGCAACAGGGCTCTTTGACACGTGGGTAATCTACGCTGTGTCTGCCCCCAGGCTCAAAGCGATTCTTGTACAAACCCCGCTACAGCAGCCTGACATGAAAGAGCTTCCGTTCTTGCTAGGATGCACGGGAATAGTCATGGCCTGTGCGGTGATTTTCTTGCGCGCACTACGGAGGGAGCTGCATGGTATGCGAATTCAACTGAACACCCTCGTNNGGGGGGGGCAGGACGGGCCCAAAATGCAAGCCGCGAGCGTGGAGCTCAGAGGGGAAGTGCAGGACCTACGTAAGCGGGTCATGGACGCTGCCAACAATATTTGGCAGGGGCTGGATCTCCGTCAGCGCATGCAGAGCATCGACATCATACATGATACAGTGCGGGAGCTTCAGGCGAGACGCTCGGACGTGGCCGAGATTCAACACATGGTGCACCTGCGCGCCCAACTGAATTCGACATTGATTCGGCTGGAGGAGATCGAGAATCAACTCCAATCCACGAGAACCCCTGAAATGCTACCCATCGTGAGATTGTCGATTCCGGAAGGGTCTGAGATGCAAGTCATTTGAGAATTCGTAGCTCGAAACTTTTGATACAAGAATTTATGTGCATGAATTTGCTTGGCAGGCCTTGCATGCATAGAGTGCATGGAACCATATTCGTCAGTTGCATGTTTCCAGTTTGCATGATCACTTCCGCCAAGTGCTTTTGCGTTGCAACACAGTGCGAGACTGCCTTCAGGACCCGTGAAGTTCCGGAGGGCAAGGGATGGGGGTAGGGGGCTAGGACGGGTCTCTTGTTTCGTTTGGGCTTACAGGATTTTTGGGGCACTGTTCAGTCGCTAGTTTGGGATGCAAGGAACAACTGTGGTTATGGACTGTTCTTCGGGATGGATGGGCTTTGTTTTCTGTTGTCGCTTTTCCTATGCGGTAGATTCCTCAGACTGATGCTGTGTGACGGCGCGGATTCGCTTCCCCCCCAACCTTTGCCATAAGGTCAGTCAGGAATGCAGAGCGCAATGCAGCAATTTTTGCCACAAGCCCGCGCCCCCAAAGCTAGACGTCCCCGAAGTGGCAACGATGGCCCTGTTTTGGGATGTCCTCGAAGTGCTCGCGGGCTATGTCATGACCGCGCACGACCCAAAGATTGCCGCGGCGGTGGTGGTGATGATCGCCTCTACGTGGCTGTGGTGTCGTCGCCGACCTGGAGCAGCAACCAGGGCGGAGCAAGCCCACATGTCCATCCTGCAAGAATTGCTGGGGCTCATGGTGGAAGTCCGCCTACAGGTTGCATGCGAGCACGAGGCCACGCGTGATGTGATGGGCTTCGGCGACTTGCAAGCGAGAATTCAGGCCGTGATCAACAAAGTCATGGCCAACGGGCTCATGACTGAGAAGATGGCCGTCAGGTTGGAGGCGGTGCATGCGGGGCTGACCAAGACCTCGATGAACCTCCATAAAGAATTGGTGGAGGCCATAGACCTCTACCTGAAGGAGCTCAAGAAAGACGTGAACAACCAGACGGAGTCCACGGCCAAGACGCTACTGGGCGAGATCGCGAAAGGCGTCGCCAACAAGCTTGAAAAGCTGGGGGACAAAGTCCGGGGCGACATCCAGACTTGCGTCTCGGAGTGTATTGCCCGGCTTGAGAAAGAGTCGGGCAAGCTGGGCAAGTCTATCGGCGCACTGGGAACGGTCGTGCAGGACAAGTTCAACGAGGTCCTGCGCGAAACTTGCAAGACCTACGACAAGATGGTTAAAGAGCACCGCGAAACGCGGGACCTTTTGGCATGGGTTCAGCAAGAAGTGGGGCAGATCAACAAGTCTGCCGACCACCTCCCAGACCGCTTGGTCATCCTACGCGACAAGCTCGACGAGGTGCTCCACAATGTGGACCAGGTCCGGCAGGCCGTGGAAGCAATCGCTACGGCAAGCCCGGGAGACGGGGGCAGCTCGCCCACTCCTCCGGGGGGACAAGGACAAGCACAAGGGCAGCCGCAAGGCACATGGACACCGCCCCCACAGCCTTCACCTCCGGACCACGCGCAAGGCCCAACCTTGTTGCACCTGGACTCGCAGCTCCCAATGTCGATGCCGAGACAAATGCCGGCCCTGACGCCAGTGACCCTGCCGGATGGTAGAGTCTTGTGCATCCCCAGAAGCGTCATCGCGCAACTTGTGGGAGGCGGCGTGTAAGGCTCTGATCCCGGGATGATGGTTATGGTTCCTTTATGCACTTACTTTACCTAGGCCCCCCTTAGTGTTTTGTTTGTTGTGTTGGGTTTTGGTAGGAGCCTTCCGCCACCTCATAATAATAGTCATGGACGTTGCATGTTTCGGAATTCCAGGCTGCACACTCCTCAAACCTCGCCTCACTTGCGGTGTGTAGCGGCCAGGCATGTGTAATGAATTTGATGAATTGAATGCATGTTGCCAGAATGAATTTGATGCATGATGCAGGTGAATGATGCGGTGACCGCGATGTATGCATGTGCATGATGCTTCAAGTGTTGAATTTACTCGTCCTGAATTTAATGCATGCTACGGCCAGTACAGAGCCATAATGGTCCATGACGAGCCACTAGGGCACAGGGTCTACATCAGATGCAAAATGAAGGCCAGGAGCGCGCGTGACTTAATAGGGATGTGGAGTTTGTGCTTCAGTCAAAGGCTCTTGACCGCAGGCATGAGGCCCAGGGTTATCCAGTTGAGACTTGAAATCCCATGACTTGAAGGTCGACGGTGGACTAGTTGTGTTTCGATGTGCTTACACAAACCCCAAATCCTTACCCGACCTCAAGCCACAGCGTAAGCACACTGGTAAACCTCAGCCCTGTTAATTGCCTTAACACCCTACAAAGAAGCGCCCCGCCTTTGACGCAGGACCCAACGTGGTGGCATGGTCTCGCTGCAAGCACGGGCTTCGCCCTTCTGCCGTGCGGAGCCTTCCTCTCCTTTCCCCCCCCCTTCCCCCTCCCTCTGAACAAACGGGCCAAAATGTCGTGCCGTCGTCTCGCCTCTGTTAGGACTAGTCTGCCTCCCGAACCCACGGTTATAGAAACCACTAACCCGCACGAGCCGGCGCCATGGATGGACTCTGACGAAGCGCACTCCCGCAAGGCTTGCGCTGAGTGAGAAGCCTTCTGCAAAAGGCCTGGACGTGCAAGTTGAGTGAAGATGCCGAGTGAAGATGCTGGAGCGCCACGACATACAATGGTGTTAGCTGTGTGACATTGAAATGCACTGGTGGTGCCCTCTTTTGCTGGATATACGAATTCAGGAGGATGCTGAAGATGGACGAGGGCGCTTGAACAACACAATGATGCCTGTAACGCTTGGATGCTCCTACCTGGGCGCGAAGCCTTCTGCAAAAGGCGAAATACCACTGTTGGCCGATGGCGCTGCAACTTCGTTGGGTGCAACAGCACTCGGGAGAGATAGGTTGGAATTTTCTGCATGCAAGACGACACTGTACATGGATGGGCGCACTCTGGAGCATAGAAGACTGGAAAGACGGTGGGCTCGACACACACCACGGATGAAATCTGGATGAGGCTGTGGAATCTGTACAAGGCTGACGCTATGCATGAATTTAATGCATGCGAACCTGAAAAGGCCTACTGCGAACAACACGTGCCCCATGCTGGTGTGGAGTGAATGCAGGACGATGCCTGCAATGCAAGCGAATTCTGAATTTGCTGCATGTAAAGCAAGATGGAGCATGCGAACAGTCTGGGCCCTCACATAGGCAACGCTGGGGATTTGACGAGACAATAGCCCCTGGATGCTGCTGCGTGGGATATGTGCCCATGCTGGTTGCGTGCAAGTGCATGATGACACATACTGCAAGTGAATTTACAGGGGAGATAAGCTTTGCATGACTTGGTCAAAAAGGAGGCAGTCGATGATGGTTGTGTCTAGGCATGCCGTGCGCTTTTGATGCATGTGCATGCCTTCACGAAGGGCCACTGTGGAGGTGACTCTGAAGTTGTGGTCGGATCGCGGTCGTGAGAGATGGAAGGAGGTCACATGACATGTGAGATGTGTTGGGTAATTAGGGTGAGTGTGAGTATGGGCACGGTGAA